GGCGGGGGGCGGGCGAGGGAGGCGGGGCGCGGGTGAGGCATGTGTCATGATGCCGTCACCATGCGTGCGCTTCTGTCATGCGCTTCTGTCATGCGGAGCACATGTTTATGTGTGTCTGGGTAACGGCGATGAAGGCGAAATTTTGTAGTGTGAGAGCTGGACAGGTGCCGTAGTGCATGATCTGCGATGTCCGAGCGTGATCTGCTGGGATGCTCAGCCAGCAGGCCCTCACCTGTCAACGTTGGCAATCATCACGCTTTCAGATACATCGTCTTGTGGATGTGTGCGCACATCCCTTCACCCACAACCAATAACACACACAACCATTCACCCACACACCCACGCACCCACCCACGCATCCACCCATACCCCCACATGCACCCACACCTCCGTACCAACCTGCTCTCTGGCACCAAGCTGCTGAACAGGTTCTCACTGCTGGCGTCCAGCGTGGTGGGGGGCACCGCCTTGACCAGACACGCGCCCTGGGGGTGGGGTGAAAAGGAGTTGAGAAAACCCTCGGGCACCATCCGCACAGGTCGGCGGACTGTTTTTGCCGGTTGTATAACCGGCAAAAACACATGTGGCCGGCTTGGGCAGCAAAATCGCGGCAGGCTCACAGCCCGCGTGGGTGGCACCGTGTCGTGGCACATGGACTGTGCAGCTGAGGCGCCAGGCCGAGCCGCGGGACGCGGGACACGACAGACCCCTGCTTGTATGCCATGGCTCGTGTACCCGCGCGCACGGATGCACGCGGTTGCCTGCGTGCGCTTGCTGCAGCCAGGTCCCGTGTTCAATTCAAGTAGTCTCAACCTTTGAATATCAACTCACCGTGATCGGCGGCAGGTCTGCAAAGGGCGGGACCTGCGGGTCATGAGGCGGGGTGGACGCGGACGAGTTGAGGTTGGCATGCACCACGGCAGACGGCACGACACATCGATGCCGGCAGACGGAACGGCGGCGCGCGGCAGCACAGGGGAGCAACCGGAGGGGCGTCGCAGCTCCCTCGCAGCTCAGGCGGCGCAGGGGCGCGCCGAATTCCGCACCCCTACCGCCCGCCCCTTGCGCCCCGCGGCCCACGATCCTGTACGCACAGCCGGCAGCTGTGGTCCCCATCGAATTCCGAGACCCTTACAGCTCCCCACGCCTGTCATCAAACCGCGTCATCACAATTCATACAACAGTGCCCAGCAGGGGGGGCGCACCTTTTCCAGATAGACCGTGTTGTTGTCCTTCTGGGCCTTTGTAAGCGCCAGGGCCACGCCCTCCTCCAGGGGCCGCAGGCTCTCAGACATCTCCTGCGGTGGTGCGGCGCGCGGCACGGCCGGTTCAACAAAACATGTGTTATTTTGCAGGTGGGGCGCCGGTCATGCTCCCAGGGCGGCTTGGTTGTCTTGTTTGTCCTGGGGATCTGGACCTAAAATGTGATCACAAACAGCACTGCAATACCTGTCAGCTCGACAGCAAGGAACACTCCCCTCTGCACACCATCCTACCAACACGCCCAATCCGAGACCCAGCGTCATGCTTTCTCGCTAACGCACCCGCCGCCCCCACCTCACCTGAGACACGGCTGCCGCCAGCTTCTTGGTGGCCTGCAGCTTGGTGAACGCCTCCTGCAGGCGCGCCCGAGGGTGAGGGTTGCGCAGCGAGAGAGGGCAACAAGACTGTCACGGTTAACCAAATCTGCCGAACAGGTTGGCCGATGCCACGGAGACACGACAGATATAGTTAGTCGTGGGAACAGCCTCAGGGCTCGTGTTGGAAGCGCAAGCGCGGGCAGCTGCTGGCTGTGGCAGGGTCGCCGCAGACAGACATAGTGGGCAGGGCCACTGCTGGCCCCGCAGGTGGACCGCTGCCCACCGAGAGGGTGGAGACCTCCTTGGCGATCTTGGTCTCGGCCTGCAGCTGCTTGGCGGCTTCCTGCAGGGACATGAGGTCAGCGAGGGCAGACAGCGCGCAATCAGAAGGCGTCCAAACTGTTCCAGCATGCCTAGGCCTGACGTGTGCCTTCAGGTGCAAAGAAGTACCACCGAGCCACATCTCGTCACGCCCACAACGAACCAGCAGGGGATCACCCGCACAAACGGCCCCCAGCGAGCAACAGACGGCTAGGTCAGTCTCCCATTAGGCAGTTACGCGGTTGGTGACATCACCTCACGTCACCTGCAGGGCAAGGACGTCCATGAGGGATGCCTTCATCTGGGTGTGGGCCACCCACGACTTCTCAAAGTGGCTGGACAGCACCTGATGGAGGGGTCGGTTGCGCGAGACGGGGCCAGGGGTGCGCGAAGCAAAAAATGCGTTGGTGGAGCTGCCCAGACATGCACATGGGCAGCAAACGGGGAGAGTGCATACACCGAGTGTAGCGGAGGGACGATGAGCTATTAGCCTGTACCTGCCGGCAACCCCCCGATGCAGGGCAGCGTCGCGGGGCCTGGGGGCCTCATACGGGTCATGAGGCATGCCTGTGGCCCTGAAAAGCAACGCAATGGCTGGCCAATCCGCAAAATTGACGCTGGCACCCACCAGGCCGCTGAAGAGGCCCGAAACCTCGCCGTACATGATGCTGGCCTGCTTGGCCAGCTTGGCGACGACCGTGGGGCTGCGCTTGTCTGTCACCGCTTTGTGGTACACACACTCCTGTCCGTGCAATATCAGGGTTGACCGGGGTGGTTGAGAGATGACGAAAGTTGACTGGGTTGACCGAGGTGGCGGGTCCAGCATAGGTATGTGTGCATGCTAGGGGATCACCTTTGAGTCAATAAGACGCGCTTGTTCAGACAGGCGCAGGAAGTCGACAGCTGCGAGCAGCTAACCGGACATTTCCATTGGAAAGAGCCAAGCGCCAGGCCAACATCCTCTCAAGCTCAGACGACATGCTCTGTCAGCCCAAAGACACATCCACGCCTGCCCAGGGCTGCATCAGCACAGGCTCTTGCCAACCAAAGAAAGTCCAAAGCTGCAGGATGCAAGACCACCCTTTTGAAACGACGCGCCACCCACCTGCGCCTGAGCAAGCATCAGCTTCTCCATCAACACGCAGCATTCTGGTGTGATGTCCACCGGGCGCGGCGCGTCCACTTTGGGGGCCTCCGTCTCACGCAGGTGCGCAAACATTCCCGCCGACTCCTGAGGGACGAGGGGGAGAGAGCGAAGGGAGACACATACTGCATGTCAAACCGTGGCTGAGGCAAACAGGCCACGTGACATGCAAGACAGCCGTCACACGGCCGACGGCGTAGAGCGGCGCAATATCAGCCGTTATCAGCGCTGGTGCAGTGCGAGGTTGAAAAGAGTTACGGGAAAGAAACGCGCTGCTGCGCACCTGGAAGAGCTTGCAGGCCTGGGTGAGGCCGTCCGCAGTGCCGCGCTCCACCTGCAGGGCCGCCTGGCTGTGGGGTGGCCGAGGGACAGCAGAGCGGCACGATCAAGGCCAATGTGGAGGGGCAAAGCGGGCCTGGCTGTCCCATTGCTGCTTTCAAAGACTGTAAATTAATCAAGCCACGCGTGCAAGGTCCAAGGGGTTGACGTGGGTGAGGCCATGGTAAAGAGATTGAAAAGACAAATGCTTTTCAAGAGAAAACAGGGCATGTCATCGGCCAGTGCTAGATGCCGCGTGCGTTACGATCACCGCTCCCAGCACGCGCCACCCAACACCGCTGATGGGAGAAAATTGGAGTCCACAGCACCCTGGCCAAAACTGAAGCAAAACCACACCCAGCTGCAACAAAACCACACCCAGAACACATGGCGACGACGAATCAAACCCCCCTTGTGAAAATCAGATTCGCCAAATGCAGGACGACAGGAACAACAGAGGCTCTCTCATGAACTTCATCGTGTCAAGCGTCAGCCAGATGCACCATCCCATCAACGTGTTCCAGAATCATGTTGTTGTGAATTTGTAAGCATACACCCCAAATACCCACACCTCCAAAACCTGTCGCTTGACCGCTTGCAATGCCGCGCACCTGAGGACGGCCGCGACGTTGAACAGCACCGCGGCCTTCTCAAAGTGGATGTTGGACTGCTGGGTCTTCTTGGTCGGGCGGAACGCGTCGCACCTGTTACAGGGGGATTCAGGGGCAGCTTACGTCGGATACAAACATTTAGTCCAGATGCGGTCACGACTGGTGGCCAAGGCAATCATTTGCATCGCTGGCCAACTGCCGTCCTGCTTGAGCCAATTCTCCACAGTGTTCGGCGCGGCGCTGCGCGGTGCGTGCCTTCCGCCCCGGCTGTGTCGCGGGCGCACCAGGGAAACGCCAGCTTGACATGGCCGCGCTCGCCGCTGATTGGGAACCTCGTCTCAATAGCCGTCAAGCTCTTGTAGTACCTGGCGGCATGGGTTGGACATGTGCCACGCGGCATTCGCGACACCAGGCGGCAGCAGGTGCAGACAACTTGGCTGCTGCTGGCGGGCGAGCCTGCTAAATTTCTCACGGACACGGCAAACCAAACGGAACTACTCAGCTCGTGTCCACTGCTGTGTTCGCTCGGCACCCATCTGCCACGTCATGCAGCAGAACGCAAGCTCCTGCCAGGCTGGTGTGCGCCCGCAGCTGCAGCCGTGGTCCTTGGACTTTTTGGAAACCCGACGCCCGGCGCTCCGCCCACTTGATTAGAGTCTCCCGCTTCGCGCCCTGCGAGCTGCCCTGCGCCGTCACCAGCTCGGCCCTCAGCCCCTGGATCGCCTCCAGGTCATCCGCCGCGTCCTCCGCGTCCGCGTCTCCGTACGTGTTGCGGACATAGGTCAGTATAGGCGACTTCACATCTAGCGCGTCTGTGCGCTTGCAGTGCACGGCCAGCATGATGTTGTGGGCGGATGGCATCTTTGCCGTCGGCTTTCAGGGCGCGCCGCTGGAGGCCAAGCGGGATTCTTGATGGTAACAGAGCCGGTGCGCCCTGGGAGGTGCATGCGGGGAGAGGCATGCTGAAAGGAGGCTGCGCACAGCATGCGGACATCGACACATGCTGTGCGCCGTGAGACGCTGTGCAGACGGACTGCGCCGCCACAGCGCATGCACGGCCACAGCAAACCAGGCCGCAGGCAGAGTTTCGCCGACGTTGCTGCTCTTCCTGTGCGAACCTGGCCAGTCGTCAGTCGTTGGCTAACGATCGTTCCGGGCCGATCTGGCAGCCCCGAAACCCCACGATCTTGGCTACTTGTAAGACGACAATGGCCTATACACAAAGCTATCAGCAGTGGTAGACACTCATAAGATCGTGTGACACGCGCGGGCACCAGGCTTGCGTGCTGCGTTGAATTCTCACAAGTTATCGTATGATATCATACTACTGCGGTGTCAGAGGTTCATGTGATATCATACCAGTACTCCTCGTGTCAGTCGATCAGTGAGTACTGTATCGCAAGCCATTCAATGGGAAGGTGGGCAGCAGCTGTTCAGTTGGACGCAGTTGAAGGGCGTGCGCATCGCATGCCAAGCTGACCCGAATTTGTGGATGAAGCCGCCACATTCTACCACTTTCGTCTCTATATTCTCAGGCTCGGATCACACCTGCTGATCTGGATCCCGTACAGCACAAGGATGAGCACAGAAAAGCCTCTTATGGAGCAGGTGTGGCAAGATGAGATCCATCTAGAGCGTCCAGCAGTGCATGATCGATCCTGCGCACCAGCATCACCGCCGTGACATGTGTGCTTTGCTGCACAAGCACCACCTGCATTCCCTGGCTCCCCCGCAACACGCGGACGGCCCTGCTTTTTGAATGCGGCAGCTTTCTGACGCGCACGAAGAGGTGGTAGCGGCGCTCCTGAAGCCCTTCAAGGAGGCGTGGCGGGAGCTGCAGGAGGATTCTCCCCTGCAGGCGCTTCTGGCATTCGTGCATGCAGTGGATTGGAAGGTGCGCCACTGTCCAGGGCAGCATGCAGTCCGCCCTCTAGCAGACACATGTGGCAGGCAGTGATGTCTTTTCTCTGTCTGCTCGCTAGGAAGCGGGGCTGCGACAAATGGTATCCGCTTTGGCACCTCCACGTGCTGCTCGTCCCCGCAATTGTGCGCACCCGGCGCGCTGGTCCCCGCAGGAGCCCTGGCTAGTGGGTCTGCTGTGCTCCCAGGCCCTGCTGTTTGTATCGGTCGTGCTGCTGCGCCGCAACACTTCATACCTCAGTGCGGTCTTCGCCCTTGGAGGTGACAAGCCACACGCGTGGGCTGCCATGCATGAGGGGCTGGCCTGCATGCGCGTGCTGAGCAGCACAGCGGGAGGAGGAGCTGGTTCACATGCAGCCAGCATGGCGCACAGACGCTGCGCATGACGGCATTTCAGGCCCGCGTTTCCTCTGCCTGGGTTGGCTTGCTGACGCCAACAGGCTGAATTTTCCTCAAGCCAGGCATGCATGCCGACATCATAGGCACGCATGCACCCTCCCATTGAACACCCAACCACCGTCCACAACTGTCTGATTTCATTATCCCAAACAACCAACTACAGCTGCGGTCATCTACTTCGGAGAGCGCCTCAACGCCCTGCTGGCAGCCCACTGGCGGCGCTTCGCGGCGCAGCCTTATTTCGACCCCCAGGGCGCCTTTTTCTCAGCAGTGGTGTCGGCGCCGTTGGTGTTGACTCTGTTCACCGTGCTGGTGGGCGGGCTGGGTCGCCGTGCGGCTCTGTCTTGCAGCCAGCAGGGATATGTTATGATGTGGCCAGGGGCCCTGGATCAGCTTTCCCACTTTCGCGCTCCACCTTGCACCCCTTAACCGCTGCATCGCGCGCCTGCCGACCGCTTGTCATGCAGATCCTGTACCTGTTCCAGGTGGTGTTGATGATGGCGGAGGTGAAGAAGTTGCAGCTGCGGCAGCAGGCGGGGCAGCGGCGGCAGCCGCAGCAGCGGGAAGCTGCAGCAGCCGATGCAGGAGCGAGGGCGGGCGCGGGCACAGGAGATGGCGGGCACAAGGCTGAAGGGCAGGAGGGCAAGAAGGGCAGGTGAGGGGGCGCCTGTCGCGGTTCTCTCTCTAGCATTTGGCAAGGCTGTGGGGCCCCTGTTTGCTGGAGCAGGTGTGGGGTTTGCGAGGTGAATGAGCGATGATTTTGACGGGGGGGAGTTATGGTGGCGGATGCCACACGTTCACATGTATCACCCGCCCAAGGCGCCACTGCAGCTGCGGCTGCGAATGCGCCCATTCATCCATCCCTCCCCACCCCTTTGCCTTGGTGCAGATGACGCACTCTGCTCAGTGCAACGTAGTCAACGCTTTGGAAATCTTGGCAGAGCCTTTTGCAGGTCCGTCTCAGTCTTCGTTGCTGTGTGGTGTTGAGAGCAGCAGCTTCAGCGTGGCTGGCTGGGGTCGTTCCAAGCCTCGCTTGTGGCGATTCTCTCGTTGAGTTCACAGCTGTGTGTCTTCAGCAAAGGCTGCTGAATTCGATGGGATTTGCTTGAATGAAGAGCGCATTCAGCGCTGTGCATGCGTGTAACAGTGCCGCGCCGTCTCCTGTCGATGTGCCTCACCTTCTCACGATTGGGCTCAGCAACGCTGCCATGCCCCGCCCCTGCCTGCATATGGGCTATCCAGGGCCAGGTGGAAGGATGGGCAGCCGTTGGAGCGCCAACGCGTGTGCGGTACCCGCTTAGTGGCTTCAACGCCGGCGGGCGCGGAAGCACTACCTCAGGCGGCTGAGCAGCTCGGGAACCAAGTGCTGGGGGCGGCGTAGATCGCAGCAGCATCGGTGGCGGCACGCCCGAGGCGCGCCCAGCCACGACTGCAACTTGGGTGCAGCCCAGCAATGGCAGCAGCTGCATGATCTGGGATGAGGACGGATCGCCGGCAGCAGCACCATTGCCATTGTGCAGCATACCAACATGCAAGGCGTGTGCATACATCACAATGATACGTGTTGACTGCTGCAGCGGCGGTCAACAGCCGGCTCTTGGGGGAATGCTGCAGTGGTGCGGCGGTCGGCAGGAGATTGCAATCGTCGCAATACTTGGGAAATGTATTTGTATTATCAATTATTTTTCTTGAAGCTTTTTCAAGCGCGGCCCGGTGCTGACGGCGAAGCCGAATGAGCTTCCCGGTCTACGTTTTTGCTTGACCACGCTGCTCAAACATTCTTTTTGCCTCAATCCTCGTGCCTTGAAGCGATCTACGTCCTGCATACGCCCCACATTTGCTGACCCTTTTGCGTGATAGCTGCCCGAGCAGCTAACCAGAGTCGGCCTTCCACGACCCTCCGGGTCTTTTAGAGCGGCTTCAACGTCGCAAGAAACATCTTCCAGCACGATTGTGGCCTCGCAACGCGGTCACGCGCTCGCGCCGAACACCCTCGTGTCAGCGCGTGCGCTGCCCGTTGTCCAGACGCTGCGGGTATCGTCGCAGCGCTGCCGACCCAGCCTTGGCTGCGCGCGCTGCGGCTATGGCCAAGAAGGGCAAGGGAGCTAAGGGCTCGGGCGCCGGCCCGGCGCCGACGGTGAGTCTCTGCCAGCTCAGCGAGCAAGTGCAACTCCTTGCTTGCGGCCGAGTTCCTGCCCGGCGCACCCCCGTCCCGCCGAGCCTCATCCAAAATTCTGACCCCTGAACTCCCCTGTTGTATTCCCGCTTCATGTCATCATGCTGCAGGCCCCGCGCCCCAGCGCGGGCGTCGCCGCCAAGGCGGAGGCTGAGCGCCAGGAGCGCGCGAGGGCCAAGGAGAGGGAGAGGGAGCAGCAGCAGGGGCAGGTGGCGGCGAAGGGCGCCGTCGGCACGGTGGCGCTGCAGCAGCAGCAGCAGGTGCGGCTGGCTGCTCATGAGACTGATCCACCGCACGAGCCTGGGCCGCGGCGCAGAAATGGGGCTGAGATGTTGAACAAACGCGAGGGTGGTGGCGTGGCGTGGTCAATCATTGCATCTCTGTGTGGGCGACGCCTGGGCAGCGCACCCAGCCGCTGCCGCCCAGCTGCTCTGTGAAACCCTTCGCTGACAATACTGGCCCCTCCTGCTCCCTCCTTTGCAATGCTGCCAACCCCCGCAGGCCCCCGTCGCGTTCAAGGCGCCCCACGGCGGCTGCGGCAACCCCTCTGGCGCCAACCGGTGCTACCTCAACGCCGCCCTCCAGGCCTTCTTCGCGTGCCCACCGCTGGTGAAGCTGCTGCTGCTGGCCCAGGCTGTCGTGGCGGCGCCCGCGGCCGTGGCTGGCACGGCGGAAGCGGCGCTGGGCGCCGTGCTGCGGCAGCTGCTGGCTGCCTACAAGACGGTGTCACGGTGCGCGGGCGAAAACCTCGGCTGGGCGCGCGGCGCCGCAGCTTTGGAACCTGGATGCTTTGTTGCTGTGCAATCGGGTGTTGAGGGCGATGCGACCGCCTTGCGGGCGCCTTGCGCTTCGGGGTTCCTCTGGATGCACGTTGTCCCACTTGGAGCCATCCGTGGCCCGCGCCCCACCTGCCCGAGTGTGCGCCTGCAAAGTCAACCCCACGCACTCGTGATCATCATACCAGGAATCGCACAGCTATGCCACCACCGACTGACCACCGCTGCTTCAACCCCCCGCTCTTTCCTGTGCACGCAGCGGCGGGACTGCCGACACGGGGCCCCTGATCCTCGCCCTCAAGGGCATGGACGCCGCCATCCCAAACATGACGTTCGACGACTTTACCCCTGGCAGAATGGGCGACCCCAACTCCGCCTTCTTCGCCCTCGTGTTTGTGCTGCGGCACACCCTTGGGGAGGCGCGCGTAGGCGCTGTGCTGCGTATCTTCGGGCGCGGTGACGCGGAGTGCGACGGCTGCCGGCGGCGTGCCCCCTGTGAGGGGCCCAGCTACAGGGGCGTCTTCGTCGACCTGTCTGAGTTTGGTAGCCTCGTGGAGGCGTTGCGCAAGTGCGGCGTGCCCGTGCCGTTCGTGTGCCCCCTCAAGGGGGCTGGGTGCGAGTGCAGAGTTTGCTGGGAGGACACCCCGGCGGCGTTTGCGGCGGCGGAGGCCGGCGAGTGCCGCCACCGCTCGGTGAGTCTGGGGCGGGGCGAAGCAGCGTGGGTCTCGAATGTGTTTGTGCACATGCATTGCACCAGCAAAGGCTGCCAGAGTGAAATGGCATTGTCCCTGGGCTCGATTTGCGGGCTTGGCGTTGGCCGCTTTTCGTGCCCTCTTGTCCTGTTGCTGCCCATGACCCGAGCTGCCCCGATCGAGGCACCCCACACGCCGATGCTCACCAACCAGGCCCCCTCCTGCCGTCCTCTCGCGCAGCTGCCCGTCGTGCCCATCGCGATGACATCACGCGTCGTCATCCTGCGCCTCCAGGGCGGGCCCTCGGACAACACCATCGGCCGCCAGGAGCAGCAGCACCTGCTGAGCAACGCCATCATGCCCTGTGAGTTCAACGCGGTGGCCGCCCTCCCCGGCCGGCATGGCGGCCCCATGGTGTACCGCCTGAGGGCCGTCATCCTTGCAAAGGGGGCGCACTTCCTTGCGGCCTCCGCCACCGGGCAGCTGAGCGCCGACGCGGGCGACAGGGCGGCGGCGTGGGTCGCGTCGGACGACGAGCGGGTGCTGCCCTGCGGGGACGGCTCCTTGTCGGGCATGAAGCAGTGGGCGGCGGCGCCGGGCAGCGGGGGTCCCCTGCTGCGGCCAGTGCAGCTGCTGTATGAGGCCGTGGAGGGGGAGGCACCCCCTGGCGCACCCACGGCGCCGGCCGCGCCCCGGGCGCCATGCTGCGGCCCGGTGCGCGTCTCCGTCGCGCCGGCGGCGCGCGCGGCGGTGGCCGCGGCGGATGTGTCGTCGTCGTCGGCGGCGGCGGCGGTGGACGCTGATATGGAAGAGGCGGTGCGGCGGTCTGCTGAGGAGGCGGAGGCTGCCGCAGCTAAGGTGGGGCAATCTTGGAGCTGCGAGCTGGGGTGGCCGGGGGCCTGGCGGGATAAACCCTGCTGCTGGGGGTCAGCCCTGCCTGCACTTCACTTCACTCCTCGCCACCATGAGCGGCCGCCGAGTGATCCGCTGCCAATCAGAGTCCATCATAATTCTTGATCCCTTATTCAACAGGACCGCGAGAGCGTCCTGGGCGCCAGCCTCGCCGCCAACGTCACCCTGCAGCACCAGCTCGCCGCCGCAGCCCAGGAGAACGACCGGGCCACTGCCCACGCCGCCGCCCTGCAGCAGCAGCTGACCGCAGTGCAGGCGTCGGCTGACCAGGCCAGGGCTCTGCACCAGCAGCAGCTGGCCGAGGCTCGTGCGGTGGCTAGGCAGGCCGCGGCGCAGGCGCAGGCGTCTGCGTGCAGCGAGCAGTCTCTGCGCTTTGAGGTGAACAGCCTGCAGGAGCGCGTCGCGCAGGAGCAGCAGCAGCGGCAGGCGGAGGGTGTCTCGACCAGCGCGTCCCTCCTCCGGGCAGAGCAGGAGGCGAGCCGCAACAAGCAGGCCGCACAGGCGTCCACCAAGGCGGCAGCCAAGGCCGAGACTCGCGCCCAGCGCGCCGAGGGCCGCGCCGCGTCGGCCGAGGCACGCGCTTCTGCCAGCCAGCAGCAGCTGGCCGTGGCAGTGAAGGAGACCGCCCAGGCCGCCGCTCAGGTCGCCGCCCTGCAGCAGCAGCTGAGCTCGGCAGAGGCTACGTCTGACGAGGCCAGGGCTCTGCACCAGCAGCAGCTGGTTGAGGCTCAGGCGCAGGCACAGGCGTCCGCGCGCAGCGAGCAGTCTCTGCGCTGTGAGGTGAGCAGCCTGCAGGAGCGTGTCGCGCAGGAGCAGCAGCAGCGGCAGGCTGAGGGTGCCGCAGCCAGGGCGGCGCTCCTCAGGACGGAGCAGGAGACCAGCCAAAGCAAGCAGGAGGCACAGGCGTCCGCCGACGCGGCGGTCAAGGCCGACAAGCGCGCCCAGAGCGCGGACGGCCGCGCTGCGTTGGCCGAGGCGCGCGCCGCCGCCAGCGACGCCGCGGCGCGCGGGCTAGAGGCGCGCCTGTCCGAGCAGCGCGCGGCGCGCGAGGCTTCCGAGGAGAGGGCGGCCGCGGCGGAGGCGGCCGCGGCAGCGGCGGCGCTCGAACTCGCGTCGGCTGCCGCCGACAGGCTGCACCTCGAGGAGGCATTGGCCGCGCGGGGCGCGTCTGAGGCCGAGGCGCAGCGGGAGGGTGCGGGCCTGCGCGCTGAGCTGGCGGCCCATCAGTGTGAGATGCGCGCTGAGGTGGCCGCGCTCCAGGCTGCCCTGTCAGCGGCCAGGGCGCAGGCGGCCGAGAGCGAGGCTGTGGCGCAGCGCGAGCGCACGGCGCGCCTGGAGGGCGAGCGGCGCACTGAGGTGGCGGAGGCGGCCGCGGCCGAGCTCCAGGGGCGGCTGGCGGAGAGCGAGGGGCGGCGCGAGGAGGAGCGGGTGAAGAGCGGTGTTTGGGCCGCCACGGCCACGGAGGAGCTGGTCAGCCTGCGCGAGAGCCTGGCGGCCGCTCAGGGGGGAGGCGGCGGAGTCGCGCGCGGAGGCGGCTATGGTGCGGCAGCAGCACAGCAGCGAGGTGGCGGCCCTGCGGGCCGAGCTCGCCGCGGCCGAGGCGCGCGCCGGGGAGCTGCAGCAGGCGTGCGCCGCGGCGCGCGCGGCGGCCGGCG